TTTTTGCGATATAACACCTTTATGTAGGCAGCTAAAACCATTAAATTGCGTTACCAGTTTATATACCGATCACACACAGCATGGAAAATAACTTAGATTGGTACTTTATACGGTATATCTTTCATACGGGTGATTGTTTAGATCAAGGCACATTAAACAGGTAGTATCAGTAGAGCAAAAACAACATTTGCGTGTATTTTGTTGTTGCTTCTGGTATCGAAAGTGTCAAAAACTGTTCTGAATTTTTTCTTCTAAATCAAAGCGTGCCATGTGAAATACAAAAAATTATAAAAAATAAAAAATTGAAATTGGAAAAAATAAAAATTGATGCAACTTTCTTTCCTAGTAAATTTGTTTGCTTCTCGAAGCATTGATCCATCCTTTGCAAGGCCCAGTAATCAGCGGTTGTGCTGCCGAGTTGGGCGAACGTTCCAAAAGCAGCTATTCAATCGCTTGTTTTGTATGGAAAAAGTTTTCACATGCAAATGGATTTTAACAATTCAGAATTTTTGTGAGAAAAAATTAAAAATATTTGACATTTTCGAGACCAAATAATTTGAAAAAAAATCAAATCAGCTGCTCTACTGATACTACCTGTTCAATGTACCTTGGTTTAGATGATTTTTTTATATATGTAACTCCTCTATCTAACCGCACAATTCTGTGTTTTCTTGATACATTTTTTGTAAAGAAATGTTATCAAGATTTTTATAAAGTAAAAGCTCCCTTCGCATTCTGTGTCAATATTTATAAAACAAAAAGCTCTACGATTTCCACATGAGGGGAGCTGATTTTCACATGAGTGGAACTGATTTCATTGTGACATATGAAAATTATGAATTTAAAAGCAAAAAAGCTTTTGACTGCCTTAGCCGAGTTGGTAGAGATGTCGACTATAATTCCGTGCATGTTAAAAAAATAGGAAGGTAAAACCGCTGAGAGGAATTTTTCAAATTCTTGACGTTTGCAAGCAGTTTAATTTTAAAATTTTACACACAAACTCAGACACACATTCTCATTTTCAATCCCAAACAACAACTTTGAGCAACTCCTTTTTTTTACTCTCAATTCTATATGATTTTAAAATGTTGGCAAACTTCAAAAAAACAAACCATGGCCGACGAATTGAGAGAACGGTTTTACCTTACTATATTTTTATCATGATTCCATGTATCACAGCTTCAAATGCCGGCACATGGAGTATTTAATTGTTAGAAACAAATTTATTTATATCTGTGTTCGTATGGAAAAGTAGCTTATGTCGAAAGGCTGGCTTTAGTATAATGCGGCATTCCCTTTATTCTTTAAACGACAAGAAGTTTTGCGATGAGACTTAATAGGAATATTGACTTGCTAGTATCGGAACTATTTCTGGCACGTTTATTTGCCAAACGTTGTTCAACGGCTCAGTGCCTGTGAATCATTCGCAATCACATGCTGCGAATGCCGATTTATACTAAATCCAGCCCTTCGACATAAGCTAATTTTCCATACGAAACAGATATACAAAATTTATACGTTTCACATGAAATTTAAATTTGTCAATAGCATTTTCAATCTTGATAATTTATCAAGAAAAGAGCTTTTGATTCCTGTGCTAGAGTACCAATTATTTATAAATAATAAAATATTGACAAATTATAAAGATTTTCAATTTATTAAGTGCAAAGAATTGGGCTGTAAGTATGTATGCTGCACTGAGAAAAGTGTTTAGTTACGTCAAATAAATATCTTTACCTCAAAACATAATTTGGTTATAGTTACATTATTTGGTTATATTTACCAAATCTTGTGTTGAGAGGAATATATTTAGCTGACTTTTTCTGGTTGTGTGAATATAAAAATTGTGTTTAGCTTCCAAACAACTAATTCAAATGCAGTAATTGTTAAAGTAAAATTTTCTGATGTTCAAAGAAGATATGAAGCCTTCGGCATAGCCGTAGACGTCACTGCTCTTACTTGTTTTTGAATAACTCTGACCAGTGCAGGTTGTGAAACGAAGAACAGGAAACAGCAAAGCACATTATGTGCCACTGAGAAGCCCTTACCATGACCAGACTTCGCTTCCTAGGATCACCGTACCTAGAAGCACACGACCTGAACGGCATTCAGCCAAAGGACCTCGCCAGGTTTCTTAACAGTACGTGGATCAAAGATGACCTGTAGTTGAATAGAGGTTTGTTACAATAGATCGTTTCGGTCGCGGTTACTAGGTGACCTGCTACCTCCTCTAAATCTAATATAATCTAATCTACTTACAGCGTTGCCGAATTGACGATTTCGTCGTCATTTTGACGATTTTTTTTTAGCTCAATCACGTTTTGACGACTTTTCCCTCCGTACTGACGATTTTTTATTTTAGTTTTTCCACCTAATTACATATGTATATAAGTATGTATGTAAATATTTTTTTAAGGAAAACGTAATTCGAAATACAACCATGCATTTATCTAGTTTTGTTCTATAACCGTGCTTTAAGTTATATTAGGTTTGTTCTAGAATAGTAACCAAATCGTAAATTTTCACTGTTGACACTGATTTGAAAGAGACAGAAAAATGGCAGAGGGAAGATGGAGGGGGAGTCAAGATTATCTATCAGTAAATAAATGCTAATGTTACATTTTAAAACTGGATCAAAATCTTCAAAAACTTCAAACCAGTTGAGTTGAACCATTTGAAAGCAGTTGTGTTTTAAATTGTAATTTAAAACTGTCGTTAACAATTACAAATCTACTTTTATTAACTCATATGCAATGTGTGTTCCCTTTGGTTTTGAAAACCAATTGTACTACAATGTCGGTGCTGCCACACAACAAAAAATGCCCAAAAGAAGCACTGAAAACGAGAAACAATAAAAACGGGCATTGAAATTAACTTTTTTTTAAATTAAATATCGATGTAATGATAAAAAAAGTGATTCAGTCTAAAATCGAGAGATTTTGTAATAAAAATGTTAACTTAGTCATTTATCGAAGTATTGATTTTTATGGGAAAAGCGGTGCAGGCGAAAATTTTTAATAAAACATCGCGCGATTTTTTATTAAAAATTTTCATTATTTATCGATAAATAACTAAGTTAACATTTTTATTACAAAATCTCTCGATTTTAGACTGAATCACTTTTTTTTTATGATTACATCGATATTTAATTTAAAAAAAAGTTAATTACAATGCCCGTTTTTATTGTTTCTCGTTTTTAGTGCTTTTTTTGGGCATTTTTTGTTGTGTGGCAGCACCGACATTGTAGTACAATTGGTTTACAAAGCAAACAGTGAGGTTGAAGTTGACATTTTTTGCAACTTAAAATTCAATTTTCATAAAAACTATAAACCTCAGGAGGTTGGGGTTTTCAGATTTACAATCACAAAAAGCCGCTCTAAACCCCCTCATTTTTTGTTTTTTTTTTTAAAGCCGGGTTCCGTATTGGAAAATTTTCCCATATACCCTTCTGCACGCATCCGGAAAGTAGTCGAGGCTCATCAAAAAACGCATCACTAGATCAAATCTGTGAATCGCTGTTTAGATGTTTGTTTCGCACTTTGCATGCATACGCGGTGGCTCGACCGCAGCCAAATAGTGCAATAATTTAATGATTTGTTTTGGAAGTCTGCCTCATTGTTTTTCATTGCAGCTGGTGTCTATTTACATAAATGGCCTATATTTCATACTTAATCTAGGCTTTAAATTATAGATCCTAAATACACATTGTTTAGACGCGACTGCTAACACCAGGCGCCTAAATGCATGCTATGTACTGCTGCATGTGCAAAAATTTCCTTCATTAAATTAATGAAATTTATGTACATGCACTTCTCAACTGCCATGTAATAAAACTTTCTTAAGTTATAATTTGATGGCAGTTCAAAGTATGCTCTGCCTAGTCGGATGCATCCTCCGGACACTGCTTCCGGAGCATTCTGCGGACTCTGCATGGCTTACAACCATGCGGAGGTGGTAATAGTTGATTACCATTGGCCACAGTGCCTACCCACTACTTTTTGGTCCAATAAATATTTTTTTTATATACATACATGCAAACATACTGGTCTCCCCTCTCACTGAGTTATTCATGGTCCTTCGAGCCGGATATTTGCGGCTTATTTTACATCTACTAGACGACCGAATCGTCTAGGGGGGCCGGTATGTTTAGACGCGACTGCTACCACCAGGCACCTAAATGCATGCTATGTACTGCTACATGTGCAAAAATTTCCTTCATTAAATTAATGAAATTTATGTACATGCACTTCTCAACTGCCATGTAATAAAACTTTCTTAAGTTATAATTTTAAGGCAGTTCAAAGTAGGCTCTGCCTAGTCGGATGCATCCTCCGGACACTGCTTCCGGAGCATTCTGCGGACTCTGCATGGCTTACAACCATGCAGAGGTGGTAATAGTTGATTACCATTGGCCACAGTGCCTACCACTACTTTTTGGTCCAATAAATATTTTTTTTATATACATACATGCAAAAATACTGGTCTCCCCTCTCACTGAGTTATTCACACATAGATATGGATATGCATATAAGTTTAAGCTAGGCTTAATTAAGCTGCAAGAATTAAATCAATAAATAAATAAATAACATTGAGAAAGGGTGTAGACATCAGGCCTTTACTTTTCAAGGACCCATTCCAATTCGCTGTAAAGCTCGTTCTCAAAGGCTTCCATACTTTTTAAATACTGAGATACATAATATTTCAAAATCAACTCGAAAATTCGGGCAGTTACGCAATCAAATACTTGTACGTCTTTTGATTAGTTTAACGTTAAAAACATGTACACGGCAAAATATCGCTCTGGTACGTTAATTCACAACAGATCCTTGCTAAAAAAAAACGAGCTTAAAACGTTGACATAGGCTGACTTCCAAAACGTCAATTGCTTTGCATACGTACAAAGTATAATAGTGCGGTTCATAACATGTCGCAAAGTGGCATTTTTATTTTTATGAAGTCAGCCATAATTACATATTTATTAGGCAAAACAATTCTTAAAATAAAAGTAAAGCTGTAACGTTTTGGTTTATTTTCAAATTATTAGTAACTTGGTAAACAGACGAAATCATTTTGTATTAATTATTCATGTTCTTCCCATTTTGCTGAATACACTAACGTTAAGCATCAAGTTAATTTTGCTCATCTAAAAGTTCAGCAGTATGATGGATTTCTTAAACGTTTCTTGTGATGTCTATAATTCCACCAGGACCTGGTAAGCTGCTAGGAACATTCATGAGATAGGTATCGATCTGGCGTGCGGCCTGTCGCCCTTCCGTAATAGCCCAAACAACCAGTGACTGGCCTCTACGGCAATCTAAAATAAATAAAATATAAACATATTTTAGTCCAAATTAAATAAAAATTATGATTTAAATATTCTAATTAAACAATTTATATTGCGCTTGAAGTTGTTTCTATAAGAAAAACTATAACATTCTTAAAAAACGCATGCATGTATGTATATACATATACACAAAAGTACATAAGTGCGATGTAATAGATCGAGAAACTGGACGAAAAGAATTATGATTATTGGAGCGTTGGGAAAGTGGTATCCGGGAAGTCCAAGAGGGAAGCTGTGAGTGGAGAGGATCTGGCCAAATGGATTTCACAGTACTCACATTAAGCATCAAGCCATCACAGTTGAATTATTTGAGGCATTGTAAATCAGAGGTGCTCAACAAATTAAATGACGTTTTCTTTTCTCGAAAAAATGTCACCTTCGTATATAGCAACATTATCAGAGTGCAACATTTTAAAGAAAGAGCACGCAATATATTATATATATATATACTGAGAAGAGAACACGAAATCTTGACAGCTCTGGTGCAGGGCAGAATCAATGCAACATTATTTCGAGAAAAGAAAGAGCTATTAGTTACTTGCAGCGTAACTCTGCCTTAGACGGTCCCAATCCCGGTTTGAAAAAAGAGGAGGGGTGGCACAGTGGGCAGCTTGAGGATGACGAGAAGAATTCCCTCGGTGAAACCCGTTTGTACCCGTTCCCAAACTAAGGTTATTGAAGCGTGCCGATGGTTGAATGGTGCTGGGAACTGAAACATGGGCATCGCANAGGGCAGAATCAATGCAACATTATTTCGAGAAAAGAAAGAGCTATTAGTTACTTGCAGCGTAACTCTGCCTTAGACGGTCCCAATCCCGGTTTGAAAAAAGAGGAGGGGTGGCACAGTGGGCAGCTTGAGGATGACGAGAAGAATTCCCTCGGTGAAACCCGTTTGTACCCGTTCCCAAACTAAGGTTATTGAAGCGTGCCGATGGTTGAATGGTGCTGGGAACTGAAACATGGGCATCGCAAGCGCATTTTCTTTGTGATACCGGGCGCCCTCACATCGTAACCAGCCTTACCATCACAAGGGAGCACTGGGGTGGCGGACCGATACCTTCTTCCCATTTCAAAAAAAACTTTATGGATGAAATAACAATTGAAAATAATAACAACATCACAGAGTCAGAGGAACTTTCTCTACTCCGTTCACCCACTAGGTCTGAGAATGACCTTGAGCAGAGACCTAATGCCTCACTCAGGTTAAACTCACCTGATTCTATCACCACTTCTGCGCCAGGTGATCAGGGACTCGAACCGATCACGGAGAGCGATAGCCAGGATCCCGGCACTAAGGCGTCTACGAACACTAATGCTGAAGGAACAGCGGAAAACCGGAAGAAGTTCGAGTACTTCACCGGAGCCCAGAAGCGTAGAATACGTGCTTTGATCAAGGACGGCATTGCACCTACCAAAGCGAAGGAGATGGAGAGAGAGCGATACAAGAAGGTCAAGGAGCTAAGGGCCAACGACGCGACAAAGGAGAGACCTAGCTCCTCGAGAGCGCGAAACCTCCCGCAGTCTCCTCTACCCTGGAGGGTAGCCACCAAAGGCAGGCAAAGGCAACACCACCCATGCTCGCTCGAATATACTGGCGTCGACACGTACACTTCCCATGCCCGCCCAACCAACACTGGCAAGGTCCACACTCGACTCGCCGCTTACATGGGACGAAGCTCCCGAAGTGGATGAGGAAGAGTAACCAGCCGCACGACTCGAAAAATTAATATGGTAGTAAGGTGCATCCAAATAAACTTACAACATGCCAAGGCGGCTTCAGCGGTTCTGGCACAGACGTTTTATGATCTTGACATCGTCTTTATCCAGGAGCCGTACATTTATGGGAACCAAACAAAGGGACTAACAGGTAAGCTATCCTATGACTCCTTCAACGAAGGACGGCCTAGAGCCTGCCTGATGATAGCTAATCATATCAACGCCTTTCTCATTCCAGAACTTACCAATAAGGACGAGATTGTAGTGAAAGTGAGCCAATCTCTCGGAGAAAACACTCAAGAGCTAATCACTTGCTCAGCGTACCTCCCCGGCAACTCCAGAGATTACGATGTTCAGTCACTACAGGGACTAGTGGACTATTGTGGCAGACATAAACTGCAACTCATCGTGGGATGTGACGCTAATGCCCACAATACCATATGGGGTAGCAGCACCATAAATCAAAGAGGTAAGTACTTACTTGAATTTATGAGCCTTAATAGGTTAGAAATTTTAAACTTAGGTAACTTCCCCACTGTTAGGAAGAGTATACGGGAAGAGGTTCTAGATCTCGCTCCATGCCCTCCTTTTATCAGTAATTTCGTCAAAAAATGGAAAGTGGCCAGAGAAATTTCTTTATCAGATCACATACACATCCGTTTTGAAATTGAAATCACATTACGATGCACTTCTGTAGGACGGTCTGAAAATGTGCAGGCGAAAGGTAAATGACTTACTCTATCTTGAACTTAGCTGCTCAGATCTGGCATCAGCCATTGCGAACTCCTACCATGAATCCTGTCCAGAAGTCACTAGGCTTAACAACAGACAGACTCCATGGTGGAATAACAAATTGGCCCTAAGATAACCGGAAGCTCTTTAACAGAGCTAAACGAACCGGTGAATGGAAAAAGTATAATATTGCCCTCACCGAGTACAATAAAGAGATTAGAAGTGTTAAGAGGAACTCATGGGCTCTTTTCTGTACAGGGATCAAGGACCTTACGGGAAGCGCAAGAATTCACAGAGTCCTCGTAAAGACACACAATAATGAGTTAGGGCTCCTGAAAAGACCCGATGGATCCTCCACGAACAGCTGCATGGAATCCCTTAACTTGCTAGCCGAGGTGCATTTTCCTGACTGTTTGCCACTGAACACAACCAGAACAATCCACACGCACACTGGGATAAAACACCCACGCGCAGAGGATTGGAGAATCGCCAAGAATTCACAGAGTTCTCGTAAAGACACACAATAATGAGTTAGGGCTCCTGAAAAGACCCGATGGATCCTCCACGAACCGCTGCATGGAATCCCTTAACTTGCTAGCCGAGGTGCATTTTCCTGACTGTTTGCCACTGAACACAACCAGAACAATCCAGCCGCACACTGGGATAAAACACCCACGTGCAGAGGATTGGAGAATCGCCAAAGGTCTGTTCGACGAGGATAGAATAAGATGGGCTTTATCTGCCTCAGCGCCTTTTAAAGCACCTGGAGCAGATGGCATTTTCCCAGCTCATCTCCAAAAGGGGCTGCCCCGCCTACTACCCTTCCTGATACCACTTTTCAGAGCATGTTTCGCGTGGGACCACCAATGGCAGGAAGTGATGGTCCGCTACATCCCAAAGGTGGGGGAAAACCAGCAGACCAACCAAAGTCATACCGACCCATTAGTCTTACGTCCTTCCTACTAAAAACAATGGAAATAATCGTGGACAGGCATATCACAAATAGTTTCCTTACCAGGAATCCTTTGTACAGACATCATTATGCCTATCTTCCAGGAAGATCCACTATCGACGATCTTCAGAATCTAACAAGGAAAATTGAAAAGTCCCTGGAGGACAAAGAGGTGGCGGTGGGTTGTTTCTTGGATGTGGAGGACGCTTTCGACAACACAGAACACTCTTTAATACACAATTGCGTCCGGCGCAGAGGGGTTGATCAAACCGCATGTCGCTGGATAGCTAACGTCCTTAAATCCAGAATTAGTACATCCACTCTAGGACAGGAAAAGGTCAGTTTCTTAGCTACGAAAGGTTGCCCGCAGGGGGGAGTGATATCCCCTCTGCTAGGGTCCATCGGAGAGGATGAACTACTCTGCCTTCTTAGCGAAAAAGGCTTCGACGTTCAGGCTATGCGAATAACATTGTCATCGTAATCAGGGGTAGATTCGAAGATACCATCTCTAACCTCCTACAGAATGCTCTGAACATTGTCGCCAATTGGTGTAGTAAAAATGGGTTAAACGTTAACCTAATGAAAACTAGCATAGTCATATTCTCCAGGAAAAGGAAAACGGACAAATTATTAGAACCATTCCTTCAAGGTGAAAAGATGCACTTCTCCAAAGAAGTCTAATATCTAGGAGTCATCCTTGATGACAAGCTCTCATGGACCGACATCTAGATAAAACTATTCAAAAGACCACGGCCTCTATCTGGACCTTCCGGAACCCTATGGGACGGAACTGGGGCATCAGACCTAAACTGGCGAGGTGGATGTATAATGCCGTCTCCAAACCCATTCTTACCTATGCTGCACCCGTCTGGTGGAATAAGGTGGAAGTGAAGTCCATGCAGCCGAAGCTCAGAAAACTACAGATACTGGCCTGCATGGGTATAACCGGCGCGATGAGAACAACACCAACGGCGACTCTCGAGGTGCTTCTTAACCTGCCTTCCCTACACATTGTAATCAAGAACGAGGCTCTGCTGTTTACAGCAAGGTTCATCTAAGGGGACAGTTTAGAGGACAAGAAGTATGTGAACCCTTCCACTCTCAGGGTTATAGAATAAGAAGATGGATTGCGCATAAGTTTTGTGGACCTGTGCCTACCGAGGTTTAACTTCTCACATAACTTCAAGCTCGTTTTCCCTGACAGGAATAACTGGGACAATGAACGACCTAAACCCCGGAAGGACAGCCACATCTGGTATACTGATGGCTTAAAGACTGACCACGGCGTCGGAGCAGGAGTCTACGGTATACAACCCAGACTGCTCCTTTTCACCAGCATGGGACAGGGTAACTCTGTCTTTCAGGCCGAGGTTCACGCCATTGAACTGTATCTGAGGCAGTATGTAGAAAGTGGGGAAACCAAAAAACACATCAATATACACCCGGACAGCAGAGTGGCGCTCCTCGCTCTTAAAGCCCACGAGATCACCTCAAAGCTGGTGTGGGACTGTCTTCAACTTTTAATACTTATCGCCTCAAGGAACCGGGTATACCTCATATGGGTACCAGG